CACAAAACCATCTAAAAATAAATAGATGACATGAAATAATTAAAACAAATGTAAAATAATCAATACCATCACCATTAAAAGCAAAAGGACTCGACTTAACTGTTTTAACTAATAGTACAAATAAAAACATTTGCAGTGCTATGATAAGTACCTGCAAGCAGACTTCAAAGCAGCAGCAGCGATGGTTGGCCATCCTGAGTGGGAATTTCCTCACGATTCCGGAACGTACAATGACACTCCTGAGAGAACTCGATTCTTCGTGGACAACGGAACATACCTCACTGAGCAGGGGAGGTTTTTCCTTGCATGGTACTCCAATAATCTGATCAAGCACGGTGACAAGATCTTGGATGAAGCAAACAAGGTCTTCTTGGGACACAGAGTGCAACTGGCAATCAAAGTAAGTGCTCCCACCCTAAAGATCTCAGTTTGTTACAGAAAAAAGTTGGGAAGTCATGTATGATAAACAACAAACAAAAGTACACAAAAAATCATTCTAACACTCTATAGGCTAAAGGAACTTGCATTTCTAAATCTAGAATGTAAATGAGATATGGTCCAATGTTTGGTTGCAGATCTCCGGCATTCACTGGTGGTACAAGGCTCCAAGCCATGCGGCCGAGCTCACAGCTGGGTACTACAACTTACATGACAGAGACGGCTACAGACCCATAGCACGCATGCTCAAAAGGCACCATGCTAGCCTTAACTTCACTTGCGCCGAGATGAGGGACTCGGAGCAAAGCTCGCAGGCGAGGAGCGCACCAGAAGAACTAGTCCAACAGGTAGGTAACATATGCCTTTGGATATTACACTTATATATCTCTAATGGAAACACCTAAAGCACTTGTCGTCGAAATTCTCAGGTGTTGAGTGCTGGTTGGAGAGAGGGCCTAAATGTGGCATGCGAAAACGCACTTCCTCGATATGATCCAACTGCTTACAACACCATACTCAGGAATGCGAGGCCTCATGGCATCAACAAGAGCGGCCCTCCTGAGCACAAGCTGTTTGGATTCACCTACCTTCGGTTATCGAATCAGCTGGTAGAGGGACAAAACTATGTCAATTTCAAGACCTTTGTCGACAGAATGCATGCCAACCTGGTTAGTGCCACAACCCCTTATTCATGCATGTCAAAAATAAAATAGAGGAATCATAAATTGGTTGATTTGCATCGGCCTATCATAATAATGTAATTTGATTCTTTTCAGCCTCATGACCCATGTGTTGATCCAGTGGCGCCTTTGCAAAGATCAGGGCCAGAACTGACGATTGAAATGATCCTACAAGCAGCTCAGCCAAAACTAGAGCCATTCCCCTTTGAAGAGCACACCGACCTGCCGGTTCAAGGCCTCGGTGGCATCGGTGGTGGGGAGGTTGAAGGCCCCACTGGTGGCATGGGTGGGGAGGTTCAAGACCCCACTGGTGGCATGGGTGGGGAGCTCCCGGCCACCATGTAGTGAAACCTTTATTATCTACAGTACCTTCTATGTTGTGTGGGACAGAGAAACCTTTCTCTGCCTTATTAATAGTAATAAATAAAGCACATCACTTGTGCGTGTTCTGGAAAAAAGATCTCAGTGTTGTAGTTTACGAGAAATGTTGAAGGCCTCAGTGGTATCATGGGCGGGGAGCTCCTTGCCGCCGTGTAATGGAATATTTATGATCTACCTTATATTTTGTGTGTGTTTGGCCACAGGCCCGCGTGGGACGTCACTCCGGACGAGTACTTTCCGATGAGGTGTTGCAGCACATCCTTCGGCATGGCGGAGTAGATCGCCGTTAACGCCTGACGATCCTTCCGGTACTTCGCCGCGCCCTTTGCGTACTCGGCGCCGCCGGGGTCGACGGCTTCCCAGAACTCCGCTCCCTCCATCGCGACCTCCATGTTCATCGCCCATAGTGCGTAGTGTCGTGGTTCTAAGTCTGACAGTAGAAATAGGGGTAGGTAAGGGGAGGCGATGTCCTAGCTATGGAGTAGTTGTGAAGACAAACGATGTACGAGTTCAGGCCCTTCTCGGAGGAAGTAACAGCCCTACGTCTCGGAGCCCTGAGGCGGTCGAGTGGATTATGAGTATGAGTATTACAAGAGTGGGAACCCCTCTATCTGTGGAGGGGGGTGGCTTATATAGAGTGCGCCAGGACCCCAGCCAGCCCACATAATGGAGAGGTTAAAGTACATTAAGCCTGGGGCGTTACTGGTAACGCCCCTCATAAAGTGTCTTAACTAACATTAAGTCTATTCAATAGCAAGCCGTTGTGCCGCGGAGTGTCTTCTGACCTTCTGGTGGTCGAGTGAGTCTTCATGGTCGAGTGAGTCTTCCATGGTCGAGTCCTTCCAGTCAGTCGAGTGGGTTCCTCTTTGGTCGACTGAAAGATGATCTCTTCTGAGAGTGTCCTTGGGTAGGATGTTTAGGTCAGGCCTATGACCCTACCCTAGGTATATGAATCCATCATTAGCCCCCGAATGGATTGAGGCTTGAGTGAAGGAGGAGTTGACGTTGTTTCCGATTGTCTTTTGCGTACCAGCTACGTGTTGTCTTGGATCAAGATCTTCCCTGTTGATAACAAGCAACTTTTCTTCAGTCGACTTGATCCATTCTTGTTCTTTGGTCGAGTGACCTTCTTTTACTTTGCTATTCCCGAGCGACGGATCGCAGGAAATCTCGCGCTTGACAGACCGATCTGTCCCTCGCGGATCTCGCGGGATACGAAATTTGGGGAAGCGCGCGAAGCGGAACGGACTGCGGCGTTCGGATGGGACATAACAGGAACGCCTCGATTTCCGCGCCGCTTTTTCCGCCACGTATCGTGCAGCGCAACTGTTCGGGATATGATTGGATTGCCCGGGTCCACCTGTCATCCACTCGGAAGGGATGCTATAAATGCAACTCTCGGGGGCTTATGCACAGTACCCCGCTCTTCCTCCTCTGCTCTCCTCGTCTCCGCCCTCCGCAACCGCTGCTGCTCTCTGGCTACCTCCTCTCCTGCGCATTCCGTCGGCGGCCATGGGCAAAGAGAAGACGACGATGTTGGAGCGCGCGAAGAAGGCGTCGGCGGCGGAGAAGGCGTCGGCGGCCGAGAAGGCAAAGGGGAGATCTACCGGCCGTGGTGGTTCCTCGTCGAGATCCAACCTGCCGAAGGGCTGGGTCCAGGGAGATTGGATCCAGTCGACCATCAAGGAAAAGGATCTCCTCGATATGGCCAACGACGGGTTGATCCCCCACGGTGCCGCGAGGCTTCCTGGCCGAGAGTGGCAGCCCCAGCCAGAAGAGGGTGAGTGCGTGCTCCTGGCCACCCATGTCGACCGGGGATTTTCATTGCCACCGAGTGTTTTCTTTCGGGGTTTTCTGAATTTCTTCGGAGCCCAGCTCCATCATTTTACTCCAAACTCCATTGCGTATCTTGCTGCGTTTGTGTCTATGTGCGAAAACTTCCTGGGCTGTCGACCGCACTGGGGTTTGTTCAAGTACATCTTCACATGTCGCTCTCAGACTGTGAAGAAGGCAAGCCCTGGCGACGAGAAGACCCAAGTAGTTCAGATGTGTGGTGGCTTAGGGGTCCAGTTGAGGAATAAAAGCACCTTCCCAGCTATGTCTTTTCCCGAGTCGGTCAGGGGCTGGCAGTCGACCTGGTTCTATTGCCGGAATGAGACGACGCCGGGGCAGTCGACTGGTCTTCCTGCATTCACCATGAGTCGAGTGAACAGACCCTCCTCCCTGAAGGTAGTTCCAGAGGAGAGGACTGAGGTGAAGATGTTGATGGATCGCGTGGTGCAGCTGGTTCGGGATGGTGTGACTGGCATGGACCTCCTGGAGGTTTTTCTTCGGAGGCGAATCCAGCCTCTTCAGTTCCGGAGCCACTGCATGTGGCTGTACTGTGGCACCGAAGACGAGACTCGCGTCCATCCGGAGGCAGTCGACGATGCCATAGTGGAAAGATGGATGGCTGCGATCACCGGAAACAAGGACAACCCTCGCGGATCCCGGAGGATTTCCCCACTTGATCGCGACAGCGTTCCAGAAAAGGTACCTTTGCTCTGTTTTCCGTTGTACATCCGTCGAGTGTGTTTCTGTAACTTGGTCGACTGAACTTTGCTTTGATATTCCCAGGCTCTTACCGAACTGTACTCAATGCCCAATGGCGCTCAGACTCCGACTGAGGAGGGGGAAGGCAGCGGCGGCGAGAGCCAGGAAGAGTGGGATTCAGACGCTGCAGAAGACGACGATGACGACGATGATGATGACGAGGATGATGACGACGAGGATGAAGAGGAGGAGGAGGCACCACCGCGCTCGGAAAGGCGGTCAAAACTTGTGCACGACCCTTCGGCTGAACGCGGCAAGGGAGTGGCGACTGCTTCACAGTCGACCAAACGCCCTCGTCCCGCTTCTCCGGTGCCGACTGAGAAGGCGCCGAAGCAGTCGAAAGTAGCTCCGTCGAGGACGACCAAGCCTCTGCCAAAGATGAAGGTAGCCATCCCCACCATTTCAGCGGCTGCGACTTCCGAAACCTCAGGCAAGGCTGAGGACTATGAGATGGAGGACGCGGCGACTTCAAATCCCGGTACTACAACTTTAAATCTTGTTCTTGGTCGACTGATGCATAATTTCTGACTTTGACTTTTTCCTGAAGCCCCAACCAATGACATTATCACCCTTCCTGACGACGATGATGAGGATGAGGAACCATTGAGGGCTAGGCGGAGCAGGAAGGCATCTACTGGCCATGCAGCCCAAGGTGTGGTGGCGCCCGAGACCATTGCGACGGAAGGGGAGGTCGGCACTCGACACACCGTGTCATTCGCGGTGCCGTTGACGAGTGCTCGACCCACTTCGTCGAGTGCTGGGCAGCCATCGATCTTCGCCACGCACCACGTCCCGGAGGACCAGGCTAGTGCTGCTAAGGAGGCTATCCGTCAAGCAGAGATCATGATGGAGCAGGTGAAGATCGTTCGGGATGCGAGCCAAGCAGCTTACGACGCCAGCTCCGCTCTTCAGAGCAATGTTCAGGTCAGTCGACCACCGCCTGTTCTGTTAGGATATATTATCAAAACTTTTCTTTCTGGAATTCATAGCAGTCACCCACTGGGTGTGTTGGTAAAAACTCCGTGTTAGCGGGGGCACGCTGAGTGCACCCGCTGGGTGTAGTCCCCAAGGCTAAGGTCGACTGCTGGCAGTCGGTCTTAGGCTTACTAAGTAGATGTTGATCATCACTCGAATGGAACGAATGGGTTCCTGAGATCAGTGGGGGCACGCTGAGTGCACCCACTGGGTGTAGTCCCCGAGACTGTGGTCGACTGCTGGCAGTTGATTACAGTCTGAAGAAGTTTCGGTCGACTGGTCGACTCGCTCTTTTTTTTTAGTCGACTGGTCGACTCTGTCTTGAATAAGACCAGTGGGGGCACGCTGAGTGCACCCACTGGGTGTAGTCCCCGAGACTACGGTCGAATGCTTGCATTCGACTGTAGTCTTAGAAACGCATCATTTTTCTTTATTCACTCGGAAATGGATCATCTCTGACATTTTGGTGATTGACTCTTCGTAGAAATCCTGCGATCTTGCGACGCGCTATACTGAACTGGAGCAGAAGCATACTCAGCTCGAACTGGACTTGAAGCTAGTGCAGGAGAATCTGACGAGGGCAAAGGAGGAGACCAAAGGTATGTTTGGTGAGACTTCAACGACTCTTTTCCCCCCTCATTTGCTTCAAAACCTGACTTCGTTGTAATTTACAGGCAAGGTGAAGGAGGCCCAGAGGAAGAAGGAGCTTGAGCTGTCTGAGAAGATCAAGCTTGCTGATGAAAAACTGGCCTCAGTCACCAAGCTCGAACAGGATAACACCAATCTGAAGGCTGCTCTGGCCATTGCCAGCAAGGATGTTGAACGACTGAAGGCTGACAAGACTACTCTGACTGAGAAGATCAACCAGATGGCTGGGAAGAAGAACGAGCTGGAAGGCTTCTTGGGTGGTCTTGCCAAAAAATTGTTCCTTATGCTTGAAGGTAATCTTCTTCACTCGACCAATTCTCCCAACTGTTATGTTCCCATTCGACTGTTTTCTTAATTCGGGATTTTGTCTTTGCAGAGTTCTGTCGCAACTTTGAAGAAGAAACCAGCCAGGTGGAGACGAACCTTGACCCTGTCAATTCTCCAGTGAATGATGAAACTGCCATGAACATCTTCCGACTGGAGTCCCGTGTTGCTGCCGTCGTGGATTATCTTGCAAGACTGAAGGTTGCTACATCCCGCATCGACTCGACGCTCTGGCCCAGGGAAAGACTCCAAAATGACCTCGAGTCGTTGGTGACTCGACTGAACGCTGTCCCTGACCGAGTGCAAGAGTGGAAGAAGTCTTCAGCTCGATGTGGTGCGGATGTCGCCCTGTGTCTGGCACGAGTCCATTGCAAGGATGCTCGAGAGGATAAGCTGGCGGCTCTCCGAGTGGCCAACACCAAAAAGCACGACTTCAGGGCCTTCATGGAGACTTTCATTGCTGCTGCTACGCGGATTGCCGACGGGATTGACCTTGACGAGTTCGTTGCTCCATCCAGCCCTCCACAGGAGGGGTAAAAAACTTTCCTTGACCTTAAATTTGCCTCGGTATGCCGAGTAGAGTTGTAACCGATAAAACCTTAACAGGCTTAGCGCCTGAGCACTCTCGGTTCCTTTAGGTATCGACCTAAATTTGGATTGGATGTTTTGGATATGATTGCTTTTGGCTTGAATTGCTTCTTTGCAGGTTAATCAGCAAGATGCCCACTGCAGTCGACTTA